ATCGTTTTTAAGTATGAGATCACATTGTGTAATGTGTACAGCAACGAATCACTCTTATGTCAATATCAGATAAAGTTGGGGGATACAATCTCAAAAGTGCCTCGTGGAAGCTTTCAATACAGGGTGGTAATAATGCGTAAAATATTGTTTCAACTTTTTTGGGTCATTTGGTCATTTGGTTCTTGATCAGGCATTTTCACGAACATAAGTTATAAGTTCTGATTCAACCTCCGCTTGATCTCATTCGGGAATTTGTTTGTGCGAAATTCCGATACAATTTCTTCATCTTGTTTCTGGCAAAATGAGAAATAATTATTCGAAATAATGTTTTATAGTGTAATTTCTTTCTCTTCCACATGATTCATGATATGATTATAACGTGATCTTTCGTTCGATTTCTTCCTTTTTATATATACCTACCTGAAAAATTGTATTGCAAGGGCCAAAGAGTCTGCATACAAAGGAGGGCAATATCTCCCCCAGCCAAACCCTGTTTGAGATGGTTTGGAATGAAATTTCGAAATGTTTTTTTTTGTTATTCAAAGAATTCCGTTGCCTCACATCATAACATCATAACGTTCCAAAAATATCAATTTTGTCAATTTTCAACTTCGTCAGAGGCGCACTTTTGAAAATTCGTAGATATTCCTCCCATAACGATGCAACTCAATCTGCGTTTGCTTCCTACGAGATCTGAATCACCTGAAGTATCGATGTCCTTTGCAATATTGTCAGATGATAAATAAATAGAAAGGGTCTGTTACAATGTCCCATCATTCATTGCCCCAATTTCGAGAACACCCTATCTAATATTCATGAAAATCAGTTCCTCCTTGTTGAAACACACGTCTGCCAATACTTAACCCCATAGTGAATTGATCTGAATAATCAATCACTAAACAAAACAGACTGCTTGAAACTAAACGAATTATTGCAACTATTCCGGGTATACATAACTTTTCCAAAATCAGTGCTATTCAAACGGCCAATAATTTTCCTAATAACTGAGTTAAGCCTAAACACCATTGAAAGCTAATCTGAAAGCGACTGGACCGAGTGGATCTCAGCCAAGAGCTCCCATATCCACAGTAAGTAAACTGGACTACAAATGGCCCTAACAGCATATCTAACTTCTGAACAGAAAATCACTTGTGAACAAACAATAGAGTGCCTCTAACAGATCATCTGAACACAGTGAAAACTCGAGTAATCGTGGAACTAATTCAAGTGCATTTAAAATCAGTGTTAGTCAACCGGCATTGAGTGCTAGTGAAACGGCCAATAATTTTCCCAGAAACTTGAGCTGAAAGCCTAAACGGTCGAGAACAACTGATCTGTGTGCGTCTGGACTAAGTGCATCGGAATCCATATCCCCAGTTAGTAAACAACAAATTGCCCAAACTGCATAACTAACTACTGAATAGAAAATCATTTTTTTCTGCGATCGACTCAAAAGTCGTCCATTTTTGTTCCAAGCTCACCTCTTGAAGTTGACGTTTCTCTTACTGACACGATAATAGTAATTTTCCTAACAAGTGTGGAAAGTGATTCTTTCCCGCACGCGACTGCCGTTTACACGAACGACGCAAAGCGAAGTTCAGGCTAGCAGTCGAGTGCGAGAAAATGACACTTCCCAAACTAAATTGCGTGCGTGTTTAGGGTGAATCACGCACGCTTGTAGAAAAAATCATTATTATGCATGTTGCTAGGCAACACTCTTAGTGTCTAGGAGGTAAAATTGAAGTTCAACTCCTGAGAACTGAAAGTGTGTCAGATGACAGCACATATGATAGCTGCTTTGACACTGACATGCTAAAGTGAGTCAAAATAGTGGTAACTTCACTTATATTTTATTAATTATATATCAATTCGTATCAATTATTTCGATTGCAGAAAAAAAGCATGTTTCATTCGGTTAAAAAGTGCTTCTGTTTGACATTTGATCCTAACAAGTACTATTATTTCATACTGTATCGTGAAACATTCTTTTAGAAACTTGATTTTAGTCCAGTAAATAGCTAATTACGTTATTGAGTATACGGTGATGGAAATTTTACCAGACTAGTCTAGTAACCGTTCATAATGTTGACCTTGTTGTCCAATTTCAACTGAAAAAATGAAATTCTTTGACGACGATTTTGTGGGTATCAGCTATCTCGCTTCTTGGAATTTTTGCAATATTCCCTCAAGAATTGAGAAATTCTTTGTTCCATTTTGCAAATCATAATATTAGACCGTGGGCCCACGACACCACAAGTGTCGATAGCATATGTTCGTATGCCCTTTTAGGGATATACTCAGACGGCCCGGGCAACCAGGAAAACGTGTCTCCGAGCGTCTATGACCAGTCCTTGCACCTGCTACGCCCTCTAGTTTCGGTTGAAAAAAGGGTTAAGTATTCGATGAACGAGGAGGCTCGGGCATGTGGATACATTATCGTATCTTGTAAAAATATCCGGGCGCTAGCCGGGTTGCATACGTCTAGGTCGCTACCGGAAGAAGGCATACGAACCGGAAGTGGCAATTTTCCAGTGGCGATAGGCGATAATCAAGGAAAGTATGCCCTTTGGGGAAACGACTTCTTTCGACCCATTAACCACTATTCCGACCTTTGCATACGATTTCAGAGAGGGCATCTCGATTTATGGCCATATCAACTTTCCGGTCTCACCTACAAATAGTCGACAATTGAGGAAATTTTGAAATTTAGACCACGGTCAGTAGAAGTGAAAGTTTATCTCAAATAACGGTTTGCATACAATTTGCGCAGTGCCAACATTATAAAAAAAAAGAAAAACCATTATTTCGGTGGAAAGGACACGAATAACTATTTTCGCCGCGAAGAAAGACGAATAACCATTTTACCCGTGCAGAAAACTATACAAAAGTTTGTATGCCTCATGTATGGGCTGAAGAAAGAGACTGAGGTAAACCGGGCCAGACTGGCCGTGTTCTCGGCAACGTATACACCAAAGAAAAATTTCGAGAAGTTGCTGAAAACTTTATTTAAGTACGACCCCTCACGACTGCCGCCTTGTGAAGCTGAACTAGAACAGCACTTCAGGCGGACTGTTTTCATTTCCCAGCTGTGGAGCGGTGCTCATCTCAGAGTGCCGACAGATCTTGAGCCATGTGAGTGGGGCTGGATTTTGGAAAATGAAGACTACGATTTCCATTGGTACCTGGGGGGCCAGCCTTCCCGTAGAAGTGAATGACATTATTATCCACGAGAATGCAGCTGAGGAAGTATCAGGTATATTTTTGAAGTGAAACTTCTATTGGGACGTTTGGTGGGGGGCAAATCGAAAAATCGCGTAAGAAAAATAAAAAAATTGTCTTCTGTAACAGGCCTACGAAAACCGCTGCAGCTGAAGATGGAAGAACTTTCTGAGAATTTGGAAAATGATGGAGACTGTACGGAATCGCCTGAAAGTTCAGACACCGAAAGCGAGGATGAAGGAGATTATGATGGCACAGACACAGATGATACCGATGAAGATGCAGAATAACAGTTCCACGAAAAAATTACAGATGATCGTGAACAAATATAATTTCGTTCTCATATATTGAATGTCATTTTCATTTAATAAAAATATAATGTTTAACTTTTTTATATAAAAAACAGCCACATAATCAAAATTTATGCCCGAAAAATCTTAGTGCAAAATTAGCACTTCCGCCTCGTATGCCTCTTTCTGGTAGTGACCTGGGCGTATGCAAACCAGCTTTTGTTCATTAAAATGTCGTAGTCTATCGGCGACGAGAGTGGCATACGAACATAAATTATCGACTATTTGTAGGTTAGACCGGACAGTTGATATGGCCATAAATCGAGATGCCCTCTCTGAAATCGTATGCAAACGTCGGAATAGTGGTTAATGGGTCGAAAGAATTCGTTCCACCAAAGGGCATACTTTCCTCGATTATCGCCCATCGCCACTGGAAAATTGCCACTTCCGGTTCGTATGCCTTCTTCCGGTAGCGACCTAGACGTATGCAACCCGGCTAGCGCCCGGATATTTTTACAAGATACGATAATGTATCCACATGCCCGAGCCTCCTCGTTCATCGAATACTTAACCCTTTTTTCAACCGAAACTAGAGGGCGTAGCAGGTGCAAGGACTGGTCATAGACGCTCGGAGACACGTTTTCCTGGTTGCCCGGGCTGTCTGAGTATATCCCTAAAACGGCATACGAACATATGCTATCGACACTTGTGGTGTCGTGGGCCCACGGTCTATATGCGATGACAGCGTCAATATAATGATTACAAAACATTGCTCGCGTTTCTATGGAAACTATCCCACAGTATGCATTCAACTCAAAATCTGAAACACTCATCGCATATGGAATAATTATTCTTCATGATAATCACTCACTTTTCTTGTTGTTTGGATACGGTATGAAATAGAATGTACGTCCGGTGAACTTTTGTACCAGATGAACCAGGCTTAATAGTATATTATTCAACAAGCATTCAATGATGGCTACTACTCTCGAAGGTTAAGTTTATGTCACTAGCGTAGCGAGTGGCATGATCAACCTGAGTGAATAATAGCTCATTATATGCGATTAGAATACTATCATTTGTTCACGACTACTATGGTCTTCGATATATAAATTTGACATTAAGAAAACTAAAAATTGAAGATACCTGTTATATTAATTATTTGTCCACTGGTGTACTTGCTCAAGCAAAACGATAGCCATTTTCCATACCAGTGAATAATAGCGGTGATTAACCATTATTCACTGGTCTAAAGACCCTAGGAACTTGAGACCAGTGAATCATGATTATGCACTGCTATTATTCACTGGTGTGAAAAATGACTACCGTTTTGCTTGAGGAAGTACATGTATTATGAATATTCCATACAACAGTCGTGGATAAATAACTATTAAAGAAACATTGGGCAACGGAGTGGCTCAAATGCATCTGAACCCAGCGCCAACCCGACGTTGATCGGCTGCAGTGTTTGTATATCGCTCGATCGTCGTGATGGATTCGCTCGAGCGTCTGATGAGCGCCGCGACGCGACCCGCGAGAGGTTCCGCCGTCCGCCCCACTCTGCCGCAGAGGGCGCTCGTGCACGCCAGTCTGGCCACTTCGGCCGCCCTGGGCAGACGGGGCAGGCATCTGACGGGCACGTTCTGCCTGACGGGGGATACCATGGAGGGCATCATACAGTGCTTGGTCTTCCTCAAGGCGTTCTCGGTGAGTATAGTGCGTGTTCCCAGACGAGCACAGAATACACTGAAAATATGTATATACCGGGTGACACAGGAGACATGTAACAGCCTGTAGTTTTTTTATGTGAAGAGATAAAAATTTGAAATTCACAAGGGTTATATTATCGATGATGGCGCTTCCCTTGAGCCCAATGACAATTTTCTTCAACCACCTGTTTGATCGGAAGTAGACCTAACTTTTTTTTTTTCAAATGGCATCCTGTATATTCCTGTAGCGTATCTCATTTGCCTTGAAATTCTCTATTCAAATATGTATCACAATTTGATATTCGTTCATTAAGTGGCTGTTATAAATTGCATTTTATTGAAATACATAAAGTTGGCTGTGGCCCGAATGCAATGACATTTCGATGCCTGATAGGCTTAAAAATCCTAAGATCATTACTGAGACGTTATTATCAGAATATTTTCCATACCTCAATGGCTCCCAGAAGATTGCCAATAATTTCATCAGGATTGAAAAAAATCATCCTAGAATAACTCACGATATTGAGAAAACTAAGATAGAAACTCAAGGGCGTCGCCAGAGAGGGGCAGGGTGGGGCAGCTGCCCCCCCTACGATTAACGCTCAGCAGTCACCCTGCTATCATTGAACCGACTATTTCATTCATCACATGATCTGACCAATCACAAGCCAGAGAAAACGTGTGCTTATCGCGAAAACTAGATGTTTTCAACGATGTAACCATGGGTAGCGAAGCGAAGTCTGTCAATTTGGCAAAAAATAATGACTGTACTTGTCAGAATGAATCATTCATTCAAAATAAATGCTTCTTTGCTTCGTGAACGTGAAATAGTCTTCACTCTGTTCTGAATATATTCTCATAATTCTTCATTTCCTTGTCAAATCTATTGTGTTGCCGTACAGCCCTACCTTTCGTCCTGACTCGTGAACAATGAGGCGACAGAATTATCTGGAATATTAAGAATATCGTGATATTACTTATGATTACGCTCACTTTGAACAAAGAACTTCCGAAAGTATATTTTTCTCCTGAAGTTGAGAAGGCTCTGAAGTTCCTTGTTGCCTTCACCTTGTAAGATTTGTACAGTTGAAAGGTCATTCAGTAGCCTTAGGAGAATCAAAACCTGGTTGAGGAGCACCATGTATGATGCTCGACTCAATGGCCTCGCAATGATGAGTATACACAGGCAACATATTTTCAAAAACTTGAACGATTTCGTCAAATAGTGACCAACGAATTCCCAAAGAACCCTAGAAGATTATTTTTCAACTGATTTACTGTATAGATTTTTTTCTGTTTTTTGATTTTCTCATTAAACTCTTTCTATTCGATTTTTCTCTTCAGTTTTTTCATGGTGCCCCCCCCCCCCTATTTTTTCCGCTGGCGACCCCCTTGTAGAAACTCAGTTTTTCTCATTTGGCTACTTGTGAAGAAACTATTTGTCTTTGCCATGTAGCCATAATATGATCATCCATTTGTATACAAATACATGAAAGTGAAATTGTTGTAATAACTGATGTATCGTCCTAATATCGTGAGTTATTTTCGGATGATTTTTCAAACTCAATGAAATGTTTGTATTTGGGCCACAGCCAACTTCATGTGTTTCAATAAAATGCAATTCAACAGCCAATTAATGAACGAATATCGAATTGTGAAACATAGTTGAATAGAAAATTTAAGGCGAATAAAATAGACTACAGGAATATACAGGGTTCCATTTGAAAAAAAAAGTTGGGTCTACTTTCAATCAAACAGGTGGTTGAAAATAATTGTGATTTTCAAATTTGTATCTCTTCAACTAAGAAAACTACAGGCTGTTACATGTCTCCTGTGTCACCCGGTATATATAAATCCCTTATTTTGTCAATAAAAAAACAAAAAATCACAGTTCATACATGAAATGAAAGAGAAAAAAAAACAAAAAACATACTTATTGAAAGAGATTACAGAAATATTTAATGTACCAGGTGATTCAATAAGAATGACGAGATTCTGTATCTGAGGAGCTAAGAATTTTGCCAACAAGACCTGTATCAAGAAAGGAATGTTTGACGAATGAAATAAAAAATCATACATGTCATTTTGGGGTTCTTACCGCCCTTGCAAAGGGGCGTGTTTTATAGACTATTAGTTTCTGAGATACAGTACCTCGCCACCCTTATTGAATCACCTGGTACAATATAATTTTGGTAAAATTACTGTTTGAAGTGGGTGCAATTCTATTACTCCCAATTCAGACAGGAATTTTACTCTCTATATACTTTTTACTCTAAATAGCATTTTTGCCTTACCTTCCAGAATTGTTCTAGGGTATTTCCTAGTTTGTGTCACAAGACCCCCTATTTTTTTGTCAGAGGGCGCCCAGTCGCCATCTTGGAATTTTCATCTGTCAATTTCACTTCAAAATATAGCATTCAGGGGCATTAACGAAAAGCACTGTATTGTGTCCCTATACTTTCAATCATTGAGTCGCCTACAAATATATAGAATTCAGGCACATCTTCCCCAACAGCATCATCAATCCCGACTTAGGTGTAAAATGAAGACTCTGACTACGAATTCACATATGCTCAATGAGTGTGACAGAGAAAGAAGTTCCATCACACCTATTAGGCATATGGAAACTTCGAACGCAAATATCTCTGTGATCGTTTGGAATAACCATATCATAGACTACAGAAGATACTAGTCATTCAGTAATCTTTGACCCTATCGAACCCGGTATCGTTGAATTCGTTATGATACTCCCTGGCCGATTATGGAATAAGATAGTGGGTGTGCCATTTGTAAATTGAAAGTTGAGTGTAGCTTCCACGGGGATGTCAAATGTAATCAATGTTTCTATGAGTCATTAGGAAGTTGCATCAATGCCATTCGAAGCAGTTTCTTCATTTTCTGATTATTCTGTCAAATAAGCGAGATATTGCCTGTATACGATAACTTGGGACACCTGGTATATCAGATGCTGAAAATTTCAAAAATTTTGTAAAATTGGTTTTTCGATTACGGAGTTTGCCTTCGTTTACAACAGTGATTAAGATATATTTGTCATTAGTCGTTGGATGTCCTCGGAATATTCAGTAGTAATATACTATAAGTACTATACAATATTCGGGTTATGAATCGATAAGTTGAATAATTACAAAGACTGTCAGTAAGACAGTTGAAATAATCCGACCGCGAAGTGGGAGATTTATTCTGTTAAACTGACACGATTTGTAATTATGCAGGAAGTTTGAGGTACATGACAAAAAATGGTTTCTACTTCTTTTTGCCACTGTTGAATGTGAAGGGAATTTTTAGGCTTATTCAATTCAATTGTATAAAGAACAAATATGGCGCCCATAGAAAAACAAAAGTTGGATGGTAAATCTCTGAAACTTATAAAGATAGAACATTTCTGACTTCTCACAAACCCAACACAGTGTATTTATAATCAACATCAAACCCTGCACTGAAAAAATTTATATAGTGAATTTCTAGTATGTATAGATGATGGGTATTTTTTCCAAGACTGATGTGACAAATTTACAATCAGTTTCGTACCTCACAATTGAAGTTTTAATTTTATCTGATGATTGTCAATTTGACAATGTGAAAATGCATTGAATAGGTATCTGTCGATATGACAATATTTTTATATTCGGTTTGTGAAATCACATACAAAGTCTTTTTGGAGCTGTTGAATCGCTATTTTACGTAGTGTAAATTCACAACAATGAAACAATTTGGAAGAGTGAAATCAGAATCAGGATTTGTGAAATACCAGTTTTTACTTGTAAAATCACATATGTTTTGTTTGTGATAATTCTGACTTTCTCTGCCCTCTTACCTGCAAAAGAGGACAAATAAAATTGGACAGAGTAATACATGTCGCGTTTATTGAAGCAAAAATACAATAAAAAACAATGCCAAATCTATCATAGACCGAAAATTCATGAATTGAAGATATTTATTAATACCTGCGCTCCTAGAGATAAAAAAAAGTGGTCGGTAGAGTCTTCGTCATCTGATCATAGATTTACCTCGCACGTTTAGGTGGATAAATTGGTTGATGCCCATCTGAACGTTGAGTTACCTCTATGATGATTTTCAATATATACATAAATTTTGTGAAGTGTCAGTCGCTGGCATAAATGAAAAAAAAACAGTAGAATTAGTCTTCGACCATGTTCATAGATATGATTGTTCCTATAAGTGTGTAAAAACTAATTGCACAGCACTTGACAACAGATAAACACACCAAAATCCCTTGATTGCGGTGAAACAACATCAATTTATACAGGGTAGCCCTTTGACAACGAAACAGAGACTCTGTAGGTCGCCAAAACCGGATCATGAAAACACTCTGAAACACGTCAACCCGAGGAGGACATCGTCCTGAAATATTTTCAGCTATGCGGCGTTGCCGCTTTTAACGAAAAGAAGCAACAACTTTGTTATTTCAAATGGAACACCTTGTATTTCATTGCATTTTTAGATTCTTCCCGAATAGCTGATTTCATAAATGCATCACACTTTGGATCTAGCGGCAATGATTAGAGCTATAGGGTCTTCAACTGACATTCATTTGAAACAAATACAGGGTGGTTCAAGATTTAGAATTCTGATCACCCAGTATCTGTTCCAATTAAATTTTAGTAGATAGTAAATCAAGAGTTGAGGTAGGTACATAGAAGCCGTTTTGACCAATAATGAATACTTTCGACACAAAAGAATCCTAAAGTTGAAAAATCTCGATTTTGAACACCCTATATCTCTGAAATCATTTCAGCTAGACACAGGGGGCCACCCTGTATATTCAAAACTTCTGCGACGTCAAAATATAGTCTCGTGCATAAAAGACTAACAGTATTTGTATTTGCACAGTATGGTATCATTATTTCACAAAACGTATTTTAATTTCATGCTCTGCATGTAAAATTACAAAATATCAATAATCATGGTAATTATCATAGATAAGATGCAGGACATTTACACTTTGTAAAATTGCATCGATTTTTTTCAGTGTGCCATAATGTATATTGTCATTCTTCGTCTGCATGAGTTCCTTTTTCTAGACACCTCTGGGGCAATTCCACAATTTTCTCTTCGCCATATACCGTCGACTTCAATCTATTTTCGATCACGGTTCCCGTTGAACTTTGACACATTCCCTGATATATCCAAGCATATACCTATACCACACCTATAGAGATATTACTCACAACCCACACGTTTATTCGGGTGTGATATTAAAACGAAAATGATGGGGAAAAAACATCGTCGGAATTGCTCTGCTCGATGCCTTTGAGCATCTAAATAGAAATACAGCAATTCTGGAATCTTCGTTTCCGAATATTGCTAGATGCTGATGGCATGAAAGTGACTGAACCGAGAAATTGCTTAAATAAAAATAGGGATCTTGGATTTTTCGACCACATGAAATTTTCAGAGGCGTCGCTAAAACGAAGTGTTTTCGTTAATTCCTATAAACAAGGTGACTTCGAGGGGTGGATGTATTACTCATCAAAATAAACCATTTCATCAAAAATCGCTTATATCATTCATTAGACAAGCCATGGTTTCCAGAGTTTTGAAGGTATGATATTCAAACTTGCCATCATGAACTATGTTCTCATAATTGACGGCAATTCAAGAACAACTCTCAGAGCAGTATGCGTCCTCAAAACATTTTTGCAGTGGAAGTCGAATAAATAGCCTCCAGATTCGAAATAAATCATCCAAATTATGAATCCGGATATGAAGAGTATTATCTGTATTGCCTTGGAAGTTGTCACTTCCAATAACAAAAGCTTCACTTTGAGAATTTCTTCGAATCTTTCTTATGGATTTTCCTGAGTGCAGGAAAAATGTTGTTTCATTCGAATTTCAATTGATTCTGTTAGATTTGCGAACGGCAAATTCAATCATCTTCAATCGTCAATTATCAAGTCCCTTTCAACTTTGATAAGAAGGTATCTACTGATACTTTTCGCTATTTATCCAATTACAGAGAACTTTCCCAATAAATTTCGTCTTGCTCTTGATAATATTGAAACTTCTTTGAAGTTATATGTGATGCTGAATCATTCATTTGCATTTCATTCTTCAAATATCCCAGTGTAGCTCATGGAGAACCATTGAAGTCATCAAAAAAATGCAGAACATAATAATTTGAATGAAACTTGACAAGAACCCATGAAAAGTACGTTACCTGAACATTTTTAAGAGCACAATATTGATAGAACGCATTGTAGCAGTTGAAATTGCTACAATAAGTTTTTAGTTTATCATCTATTTTTTTGTTTATTTTTACCTGGTGTATATAAGTAGTCTGGTGAGAAAATACATACTTACAGAGAACACTCAGTCATTAGATAACAGTCGATAAATCAGATCTTCATCTTTATTACAAAATAAAAACAAATACAGCTGATTCCAGTAAACATATTATCCATTCAGATTATTTTCCCTGAGGCTCAGCATACCTGTAGGAAGTGATGATTTTAGCTTCGGCTTCGTTCTCTGATCCAATGAACAGGTCCTGAAATTTAGGGAAAATAATATAATATAGATCTACTTTGAGCTAGATTAAATGACTTACCTGTGATGTTCCTCGGAGTGATGGTACCATTATGGACTCAGGGGCTTCTTTCAGTTCAGAGTGGTCGTTCGATATTTGTTTGTTTTCTTTACTTTTCTAGGACTCTTTTGTGGTTAAGTATGTCCTATTCTCACTCTAGCGTGGAACTACGGTCGTCGTGAGCATCAATAGTCTTCGCAACTTGCAGTAAAAAGGAGAAGAAGAAGAAGCGTTCATCAACCCTGGCTGCTTATTTACATCATGTTTTCTTTAAGGAAAAAGAAGAATGAGAATACTCTTCTGTCTTTGGTTCCTATTTCATTTAGGTTTATTTGAACTATTCGTTCCCAGCTTTTATCTCGACCAATAGGATGCGAGAAAATTATTTTTCTCGGATTTTTGCTGTTTCGTGAGAGGTCGGTGTTAAGGGTGGGGGAATAGGGACTGGTCGAGGAAGATTTCCTTTGGGAAGCTCTCTTCTCGGGCAGCCATGATGACGACTTGAGCCATTAAGTTTGGTGGTGATATTTTTGATCACTTGGTGAAAACCGGTGAAATATCAAGTTTTGTTCTATAACGTTTTCAACGCTAAGCGTAATCATCACCAACTTAAAGATTTGAGAGCTGATGGTTGTTCGCTGCTTTTGGAGCCGCCTGGTAGTGACGCCACGTGCCAGCTAAGATGTTTGGCCCTCCTTCAACCCTTCTCAGAAGGTGAGTAATTTTTCATTGATTGTTAGTTGTGAGAATTTTTTGGTGCCACGGTTCGTCCACAAAGTTAGAGCTACAGGACGTATTTTTTTATACACTAGGGTGCTAGGATGTGCCTAGGGCACTAGTGGTTTATGACCTGCCACTGATCTCCTGCGCTGTGTTTCGCCGTCACGTCGGGAGGAATACCCAGGACGAGGGGCTACGGAACTCAGCATACAGATCGGAGGGGGCTCTTTTCGTTCTTCCCTTTTCACTGCAGCTAATCCGCTGAGTTGCATGCTGCCGTCACGCCGGGAGGAATACCCAGGAGGAGAGGCGTCAGGGTCCAGCCCAGTGGATTAGTGGAAGCACCACCTTTCTTCGCTGGACTTCTGGACCGACTGCTGTTAGCACGCCAGGAGGAATACCGAGGAGCAGGGGTTGCAGCATTTGGCCCAGCAGTTCAGCCCCCATCTCATCTTCATCGCAGACCATCATCATCGCTGACCATCATCATCGCAGACCATCTTCGCAGTCACCTACTGCCACATCATCACCAGAGCGGACCGTGATAGGGGTGATATGGACCTCTGGAGAGGACCTTCCCCCTATTGTTGACCAGGTTTTTGTTAGGGACATTTAAAATCTCAAAATTAATAGATTCAACCATTTTCTAGTGTAAAACTCCCTGTGAAGCTTCACCATGGTACCATGAGACAGCGGTCTCAGTTTTACAATTTTTGATGATTTTTTGCTTAACAAATCCATAGAATATTGACCATTTCCCCATGTATTTAATTTTTAAATATCTAGAAATTATCACTATTTATTTGACTCAGTTGAAATTGGTTAGGATGTCCTCTACAGCGGTCTGAATGTGCCTTGTCTGGCTCTGGTGAAGAATAAATAGGTTGCAGGAATATTTTTGTTTCATTCCACTGTCTGTCCCGCTTGAATATTTCAGGAACACAAATTCGTTTCAATATTTCAGGAATATCTTTTTTAAGCATATTTTCTAGAGCATATTTTGTATAGCATATTTCTGGCATTTGTTGTGAAGTATTTTGTTATATCAGATCAAAGTATTTGGTTTTCTCAATTATCCAAATCAATTCACAATTTGATATTAAATTGAGTGGCGTCCAAAAATAACTCGAAAATCAATCTCGAATCCACATCAACTGTTCTCTGGCGAAAAGCAGCCGTTCGCATATGTACTTAATTTTCTTTTAAATTCAAATTGATTGAAATTTACGTGATCAGAAAGATAGGTTACATAAATGTCGTCCAACGTGTAGGGCCCGAAATTTCGAGTTTTGTTTTTGAGTAAAATTATGAAAGTGTTGTGTTTCCTGAAGTTTTTGAGTTGGCGGTTGGTGGAGTGAAATACTACAAGGAATTAGGAAGGTGTTCTGATGGTTGCTTTCACTCTTGGGAACACTGCAGGTGAAGTTAAGGGAAATTTTGAAATTTTTTTGGGGATATATTTTGCGGTTTTTCTCGGGTTTTTATCAAAATTTATGAAGACATTGGATATTTTTTGGCAAATTTTAGCTATTTCACACTAAGCACCAACAGGGGTATGCGGAAATTTCTGTGACAGCACATATATTATCACACTTTTATTTGTTCTCTCTGCTCAGGTGTAAGTCAATATGGAGTCTCTTAAAGTAAAGCATTTGCTTATTGGGGAAATCAATTATGAATTAAGGATTAGAGGAGTTATGTCTGACAGGAATATGGATGACAAAAGAAAGATTTTGGGACGTTTAGTTGCTAAAGAGTTGCAACAGGGGAAAGATGTACTAAACTTAGAAGATCCATCATT